GAGCGTCTGAGTTGGGCTTGTGGCACCCATTCTGGGTGAGAAAGCAGGCACAGCACCTCTTGCACACGTGCACGCAGCCAGGAGGAGGAGGCTGGCTGTTAGTCCTATTGGACTCCATGGTCCAAGGGATAGGGACCTCAGGTTTGGCATTAGGCAGCCGTAAATGCATTTCCTCCTGGTCTGTTGGCCTCATTGCCCAATGAAGGAGGGCCTTTCTGGACTCAGACTGTGGGGCTCCCCATGCCCCTCTGTCCTCCCTACTAGCTCGGAGCCCAAGATCCTGTTCTCCTACAAATGCCAAGTGGATGAGACTGAGGAACCGGACATGCACCTGCCCCATCCCTACGCTGTGACCCGGAGGGAGGGCCTGGAGGCAGCAGGTGCCGCCAGCACACAGTTCGACTCGGCCAGCGGCGTGTCTTACCTGGATGACATCGCTTCCATGCCCTGCCACACCGGCAGCATCAACAGCACGGACAGTGAGCGCTGGAAGGCCCTCAATGCCTGATTGCAGCTGCCCTGGCTGGAAAGAGTCCTGGGGCCTGTGGCTGGCAGAGGGGAGAGGAGGCCAGGCAGTGCAGAGTCCTTGGAGGATGAGGCCAAGGACCTTGTGTGGGTGGCAGTGCTATGCAGGCTCTGTCCTTCCACCTGGGCCTCCAGTTGCTCTCAGCCATCTCTGCTCTAGCTGTCCCTCCCCCTTCTGTCTGTCTGCCCTTGCCCTGCTCCACAATGTGGTCCAGATTATGATCTCTTACGCTGGCCAAGGACACCTCTTCTCCAAAGGAGAAAGCCTGGGCACCCAGCACTGGCACCCCTCCCGACAGCACTTTGGCCTTTTCAAAGCTCACTCTGGCAGGTGGGCTGAAGTGTGTATATTTTCTTGATCTATTTTTTAATAAAAAAGAAAAGGAGCACAGGTGTTGCTGTGGAGATTCTGTAGGGAGTACTGGGGCTGGTTCCTCTCAGGAGCCCGACGGCTGGGATGTTCAGAGATCCTGGCAGATCCCTCTGCAGCCTGAGCCCAGGGAGGCTCAACCAAGAAACACTGGCCAGTGCACAGGCCCTGCTGGCTGCTGGGAGGTGGAGAGAAATCTGGCCCCGGCCATCTCTGTGAGTGGAGGGGACAAGTGTGGAAAAAGAGTTGTGGTTTCTGTGGGCGGTCTTTCCGCTCTGTTGAAGTGTGTGGCAGTTGGAATAAGCCCTTCGGTCCTGTCCTTTCCCCACTACTGCTCTCTTGGCTGGAGCCAGCCACTCCCTCCTGCGGCTCCAGTCTTACCCTCTGTTAAAAGGGATAGGAGGTCTGAATGTTTGTGAGGACTAGGAAATAGTAAGTGTGGAGGACTGGCACTTGGGAATCGAACAGTAATGACAGCATATTACTTTTAGCCTCTAGAGCAGTGCTTGGCACCCAGTAGGCACTCAGAAGACAGGATGCTGGGGAATGACACTCGCAATAAGAATGGATGCGATGAGGTGACCATGGGTGGAGTCAGAGTGAGACACTGGGATGGGAAAGTGGAAGTAAGAGGGAAGAGCCACGTGTCCATGTTGCTACTGGTGCAGCTAACTGGTTTTGAGTCCTTCGGCAGCCAGAGGAAAAAGGGGGTCGCAGTTATGTAATTCCCACTGTCAGAGGGGAGGAGGTCTTAGCTGAGGTCGTGGAGGTGCTGAGAGTCAGACTTGGCCCCTGCCTCTGCTACTGCCCTTTATCTCAGGAGGGCACTGAGGGCACCAGCTCCAATACAGCTTGTGACGGGGCCCCACGTGCCAGGTTCCCAGGTCCAGGGCCCAGCGGGCTGGCATCGGCGTGGGCATGGCCAGTGCAAAGGCACAGCCGGTGAGCTGGGCTCCCCGCTGAGGGGACTCCAGGGCTGCTGGCCCCCCCCCCCCCCCC